ACGTAACGTAACGTAACGTAACGTAACGTAACGTAACGTAACGTAACGTAACGTAACGTAACGTAACGTAACGTAACGTAACGTAACGTAACGTAACGTAACCTAATATAACCTAACGTAACCTAACGTGACCTAACGTGACCTAACCTCATCTAAACTAACCTAACCTAATGTAACGTAACCTAACGTAATGTAACATAATGTAACCTAACCTAACCTAACCTAACCTAACAAGTCTTAAAATGGCTGAATTATGACCATTTAAAGTTAACTGTGGTGGCCATCTTGAATTTAGCATTTACAATTTGCTAAAGATTATTTTTGGCCTCTAATAAACTAACTTTCAGCATTATTTCTCTAAAAATGGCTGAAGTATTGCTCTTTGTAAAATTACCATTACCATTAGCTCAGACTCAATCAGCATGTTTAATTTTCATCCTGCTTAACTATGATCACATCAAACTTCAGCTCAGTATCTGTTAAAACAGCTAAATTAGAGGCATTTGAAGTTAGCTGTGGTGACCACCTTGAGTTATAAAATCCAGACTTATGTTTATGTGCCCCCCTAAAAGAAACACCTCGGCCACCCCTGTGCCACCAGTTGCATAAAAGTCTAGCTCCACGCCTGATGATGATATAAAATGATGTTTTTATTTTGCCTTTAAATCATAAATTGTTTAATCATTATGTTAATTTGGATCGATGCGTTGTTGCATTCCTAGTTATTAATTATAAATTCTAAGTGATTTTTGACATATTAAAATTGATGCAGAATTCAGCATCAGAATACAAAAAAAAATAAAAATAAAAAATAAAAAAAAACGAATAACCCCCCCTCCCCTAATAATTATCTTGTTGTTTTGAGGGGAAAAAAATTGTTTTCTTGCGCTAAGATTAAACTAGCCAGGGTATCTTGACAAAACAAAATAATCAACCTATCTTGGGAAAATTAATAATAACATGTTCGGTCATTCTTAGCTTCTGTAAAAACACTTTCCCACAAAACATATAAAACATGTTCAGAAAAAGGGTTTAATTTTTTTTCAAAGACTGAGGAAACTGAAAACATGACATTTGACAAGGCAAAAATGGAACCTTACTTGAAAAATAAACTTAAACCCCAAATATGACTCACAATTATTGAGATTATTCAGTAAAACTATACAGTATTCGTATATGTATATA